CTACTCTAACTCTTTCTCCATTTCCCACGAACACCTTCAAGTCATCCTTGTTTGGCACCCTCTTTGTTTTGAATCCCTGCAAAGAGTTAGTCACATGAACTGTTGCACCACTGTCTAACCACCATGAATTAGAAAAAACTTCAACTGTATTAGATTCATAAATCACAGAGACATTTTCATGCTTACCTTTTCCCTTTTGTTTGTCCAACCAGCGCTTGTATCTTCTGCAATCTCTCTTTAAATGTTCAAATTTCTTGCAGAAGAAACACTTCAAACCTACTGGACCCGTGCCCTTTGCAGACTCATCTTTCCTTTGCTGCTTATCTGTGTTCTTGTTTTTGGTCCATTCCTTTGGTTTAAACTTAGTATCCTGCACCAAATACACTTGTTCTTTTCCTTTGTCCTTTCTGATACTTTGTTCTTCCTGCACACATATACCTATCAAATCAGCAACTGACCATATCTCCTTCTGAGCAATATAAGTAGTTTTCAGTTGTCTAAAAATGCTAGGTAGAGAATTAATAGCAAAGTGCACCATCATGGTTTCATCCACATGGACTTTTAGAGCCTTCAGCTTGTTTCCTATCTCAACCATGTTCAGAATATGAGTTCTTATGCAGCCTTCTCCATTGTATTTCATATCTGTCAGCTGGCTCATGAGTGAACCAATTTCAGCTTTCTTGGATCCTTGGAAGTTTTCTGCAATAGCTTCCATGAATAGCTTAGCACTCTCAGTTTCAATAATACTGCCTCTGACCTCTTCTGAAATAGACCTCCTCATGATCAGAATTGCCATTTTGTTGGCCTTAATCCACTTTGCATATTTAGTCTTAGTCTCAGCAGATGCATCAATCGCAGGTACTGATAGAGCTTCATCAGTAAGAACCATCTCATAATCCAGAAGTCCAAGAGCAATTTCCACATCTTCTCTCCATTTCTTATAATTTGAGCCAGTGAGAGTTCGAATCGAGTTATGATTGACTGTACATGTTTAAAACAAGATAAGCACTTTATATATAAATTTCCCCAGAACTTTAATCAAACATACTTAATCACATCTTTGGACAATGATTCAAGCATGCTTATTGACACTGGAAAACGAGTAGATGTGGATTTCCTGAGCAAAAGATCTTCTACATCTTTAGACAGAAGAAAACCTTTCACTAATCCATATCTATCCATGTTCCATGTCGATCCACCATGATGCAAGACATATCAAACTGCTGACATCTTTGGACAGAAAGCCTTTCGACATGTTTTGCATCATGGTGCAAATTCTGATCATAAACCTTGAATATAGTGATCATGCAATGGTTGAATCGCTTTGGCTAACTCAATCACGGCACAAGAACTGTAAGCAATGATCTGTAGAAAACTTTAAGAACATGATAAAGTTCATACTTTATACTGTTATCATGTTCATACTTTATAACTTAAAACTGTCAGTTATTTATTCTTTAATTTTCCTGCACGAGTTTGTTAGGTATAACATGATATAACTTAAGCTCTGATACCACATGTTAATTCCATAAAGCCATAACATGTTTAACACTAACCTGAGTCTGACATGGTGCTGGCGCAGATTGGATGATGCTGGAACAGATTGGCAGCGCAAGGGATAGAAGTTCTTCTCCTGAGGATCCGATCCTTATAGCTATAACTCTGATGGGTGAATTTCTGTTTAGCTGTGTTGTGTTATTCGGATCTAGGAGGGAGCCTTCTATTTATATGCATCTCTCTAAGTGTCTTGCCCATCAAGAAACACTTAGAGATATCCTTCATGCTATAGGATTAATCCATTTCAATCCTTGTAGAACTAGGAACCCTTAAGCCTTCATTATCCTTATTGAACACTGTTTGAGGCTTGCCTAATCGAGATAGGTTTTGAGTTCCTAATAAACAATAAGTCTTTGTAATCCTAACTTGATTAGAAGATCACTTTAGTAGGTTTAATGTAATAAACCTTCTTACATGGAATAGCTGGTGTACTGTGTACGCCGCAGTGGCAAGAAATTTCAATTTTCTTGAAAATGAAGTCGGAAAAGAACAAGAAATAAAACTAAAGCTCTTTTTATATTGTCCCTACGATATTTTAAGGTTGTTGACTTGCTTGTTAGGAAGACTTCACATATGTATACGCATATGAGAAATATTTTGCTCACCATACTTTAATCCAATGTGTACCTTCATTATCATTCTCAATACCTAACACATGTTTATTGGCATAATAACAATTAACTCTTTGCTTTGTATTTATGGAAATCATAATTATGCTTATGGACACGTGTTAAGTGTTAAGCAAAAATATTTCCTACGTATAAGCCATGTTGAAGCAAATTAGCCAAATAAAGAAGGGAAAAAAAAAGTCTATAATCCAATCTTAGTATATAAATATCATATAGACTTCCAACCTAATAAATAAATAAAAATTCATCAAGCACATCTCAAACTACAATTTGTCCCTTAATACATTTATAAAAGGCTTAAATGCTAAAATAGTCCCTGTGTTTTATCTTGTTGGCCAATTTAGTCCATGTGTTTTTAATTGTGGCCAATTTGGTCCCTGTGTTTAGCACTGTTAGCCAATGTGGCCCATTCTGTTAAAATTGTCGTTAAATAAACATGACAATTCTTTTTTTCTTCTTCTTCCTTTGAAAACCTATAAATTTTGTTGAAATTAATTTATAAAAATTGAATTAATTTAAAAACATATTAAAACTTCATTAGAACTAAAACATAGCATTAGAAAAAAGATAAATAAATAAATAAAAGAGGATGGGTGCGGGGCTGCTCAGCAGCAATGTGGTTGGGGGGAGTGGGGCGATGACTGCATGATGAAGATTCTACTAGGAGATGGTCAGGAGTTAGGGATTGTTCTTTGAGAGAGGGAGATAAAGAGAGATAGAGAGAGAAAGAAGGGGAGGGGTGGGGTGGGTGGCTGTGGCTTAGGGAGTTGGGGATTTTGCATGTGGGTGAGTTGTTGCTGGGGAGAAAGGGTGTTGCTGAAATGGTGTTGTCCTTTGGTTTTTAATTGCTTTTAGCTTTTAAATTTTATTTTTATTTCATAATTATTTATTTTATAGATTGAATTCAAATATTTGTATTTTTTATTAATATTTTAACAGAAGTTTAACGGATTGGATTACATTAGATAACGGTCCGAAACACAGGGACCAAATTAGCCAAATTGAAAACACATTGACCAAATTGGCCAACGAGCTAAAACACAGGGACCATTTTAGCATTTAAGCCTTTTTAAAAACAAGGGAGTGCATTATGATATTGTTTAGTGTGTTAATAAGTACCTTATCTCAAATAAAACAAAAAATGACTTTTCGAATGAAAAAATGACTTTAAAATCTAAAACCCTTAAATATTTATGGGTTTTAAGTACATTTCCAAGCTCGTCAAAGCACTTACACCAATTAGCCCCTTGCCATGGCAAGGGGAGCCCTAGGGCAGCTACTATTCATGTAAATAGTGGTTGCCCTAGCTCCCCCCCAGCAAAGTGTGTTTCCAGCAGTTAGTCCCTTGCCATGGCAAATACTATTCATTTTTTTGTTTTTTTCACAACTTTGTTTATTTAAACAATTAATTTGGATAATATTTTCGGATAAGATTTTTGGGTACCTACGTGTCAATACTATTCATTAACAATTATTAGAAATGCAAAACAAAATATAAATATTGCAAGAAACATTCATATTAATATTGGAAATACAAGAAATATTAACAAAATATATAAATTGCAAGAAACATTTAAATAAAAATTAATATGACATAAAAATTAATAAAACGAAAATTACAAATAATTTACCTCACAG